AGGCGAGCACACTGAACAACTGGGAAAGGTGAAACCAAAAAAAGCAAACACTTGGAATAGAGCTGTCAAACAATTAATCACTGAAATTTCAATCGCAAGGAGCTTCTGTTAGATGGAAGGTTACGATATTAACTTAATGGTCACATATTCTTCTCCTCTTCAACCAGTGTAAATAAGTCTCAGAGCTCCTCAAAACATGTGTGTGAAGTTTCTTGTTCTAAATCCACTCTGATCCTGTATTTGATGATGCCTATAACCCCCTCTATTTCAGCTCTGCTCAGAACAGGCTGTTTCCATGTCTGTAGCTTTAAATGTAAATGAGCTGTGTCTGACCACGCCCCTCTCTGGAAGGGCTTGGGTGTCTCTGGCTTTATCGCTCCATGTCCTATTGTTTACAGTGAGAAGGCAGACTCAGAGGGCAGAACAAACACCTAGCTGTGGGAGTGTCACCCATCTGGGGGTGGGGTTGCTGCCCTTTGTGATGTCATGAAGGGAAAATCTCCAAACGGCCTGTTTGAGCACACATTTTCTGAAAAGTGGAGCAGGCAAAAGACGGAGAGGATGGACTTTTCTCATCATTGGGGGGTTTTGTAGACAAACAAGTGACCTTTAACTACAGAAACTGGAAGTGGTTATGGATGACAAACTGAAGCTAAACAGCTCAAAGTAACGGTAATACAGGTAGACCCTGCTGTCAGTGCTATGGCTTAGCTACAGTGCGCCTACAGGGACATAAACAGCATGTGATCTATGTACTTAAAATAAAGAGATTGCGTTGATGCTGACGGTCTTATTTAGATGTTCTGTTTATTTTTTGTCCCAGAATATAAACAAACAAAAATTCCTCACCCTCAGTTTTCTAGAGAAAACTACGTTAAAGGAAAAAGTAACTTACTCTTCATTATGAAGACAAGCAGCCCCAGAACCAGACCCAAGATGATCAGAACCCGACTACCACACCAACAATCAGCGATATATTTCCAGGTCTTCAACAGGGAGGGTTTATCTGAAACAAAGAAAACACTCACACTAGTCTCACGTTCAACAGCATTTCTATTCACGAGGTTCAGTTTATCATTTAGTTCAGTTTTATGGCACTGCTAATTTCACGGCAATAAGACAAAGTTTCTCACCCCAAGTCTTCTCACAGTAAAATCTGATTGGAAGTGAGACACCTCACAGGTGTACGTCGCCACATCCTTCCTCAAGATCTCGATACTGTCTCTCCTCTGGAAGGTGTCATCGCCATTCGGTAGGGAGCCTGTACTTATCACGCCATCTTCTTTGGTTAGAACGCGACCATCCCTTATGATCTTCATCTCGATGTCTTTGGGGTAGAAACCGGTGGCCAGGCAGGACAAAACCAGGTTCGTCTTGATGTTGGAGTTCTTTGCAAACACTTCAACTTTGGGCTTCTCTGCAAGGACAAACGAATAGAGGGAGTTCATTATGCAATAACGAGCAATTCTGTTTTCACTGGCATTTTCTAATGCAGCAATCTGTCATATATGCCCTGATAACCTGCTGCTGTAACACCACGATAGCATTCATCCATCCACCCATCATTCATTCATCCATCCATCCACTCATGTTAAACATAGAACATTTTCTGTCATACATACTGGCGTTACGTGCTGAAGTTTCCCGTAGTTGATGAACCTGCTCAACCAATCGATGCACTCTTCTCCAGGTAGCCTCGGGTGTATTCTTTTAGGACCTGGACCTCATCCCACTTCCTCTTGGTCGGCTCTGCCGCCACGATCGGTGCGACCCACACTTGGTTGGCATCGTCGAAAGAAAGAAAGTCTTTTCCGTCGTAGCTGTACATGTCCATTCCACTTTGAACTTCAGGGTCCCGTCTTCCTGTTCTTCACCCACACAGCCGTGCCTCCACTGCAGCACATGGGTGTCTGAAATGATTGAAACCAACACAGAAAGAGATTCATAGATTGACAGTGCAGTTGAAAAGCTGGTTTGTTTGTTAAACAATCAAAGCCTCTGCATGTATCTTATACAAGACATTAGATTTAAGAGATAGTAAGGGTTTCTGTCCCAAAGTCTTCTCATGTGTCTTTGAAAAAAGATCGTTACATCAAAAAGCAGTCCTGATCTTTCGTTTCTCGGCGCTTACCTGATCTGTTCTGCCTCATTCGATCCATCAAAATCCCGATGTTGACGTTGAACCACTGCTGCTTGCTCTGGCGGGACTGCGTTCCTTTTGTCCAGTAATCTCTATCTAGTCGCTCCTTCATCCAGTGCTGCTTGGGGACCTTCTCTGGATTGTCACTGTCGAAGTAGTCAATGAGCTTGTCGTCCAGGATACCCATGGCCGTGAACTCGTGGATGCCCGGGAGCCCGATAGGTTTGGAGAAAGCCGTGTAGATGTAAGAGAGGGAGTGCGTCTCTGACATGCACACAGGTAGAAAGAGGGAAAGGTGTTTATTTTTAGACACATGTAGAAGCAGCTGATTGGTCCTAACTCTGCCAAATTTGTGGGAGGACTGTTCGAGATACTGGCAAAGACTTTTCTTTATCTTTTACTTAAAATATAAGATTCACCCCCCCACACACAGCAGAATCACTAAATATTTTGATGATCAATAAAAGATCCTGTATCCTACCTTTCATGATGTCAGTCTGTGAAACCCACAGAGCAGAAACACCTCCTTATTTATATGATACTGATGACAGTAAAAACCCTAATTTCAGCGTCTGACTATGTAGCTCATGTTTCCTGTGATGTCGGCTGTTTATTTTCCTCTATCTATACACTGGGCCTTTATCCTCTCATGTGTCTAGTTTGTCTGTTGTTGTTGTTGTTGTTGTTTCTCCTGTGTGTCATGTATTGTCTTTGTGTTGCTGTGTTGTACTCTCGTGTTTAAACATTTCTGTTTGGGACGCCCCTTGGAAAACCAGGTGATACACTTCAAGGGATTTATGGTGAGATCAATTTGATCTCGAAGGTCAGAAATTCTGAGTTGCCGGTCTGATATGTCATCAAAAAGCCCCCCTGAAGTCAGAACGCCAACTTGGACACTCAAGTCCAAGTCCGTTGGTTGGTCGAAAGAATCGTCACTTCCTGTGCGACAGCGGTAATGAAGGATAAACACAAAACACGGCATGTTTAAAAATCCTGTGGATTTGGAGAGAGTCATTTCAAGGCCCCATAAACGACCTCAGAGATGCTGACCTTCCTTGGAATCATTGATCTTTGTTCACCGCGTCACAATCTTCTTCTTTGTTGAATGACCGCCGCTGTGGTCAAGTGATGTGTAAGGGTACGGTTGGTTGTGGAAACGCAAGCAAGATCAGGTTATACCGTTGCAAACTGACCCAAACCGAGCCGCTTGGTAGAAATGGGGTTCGTGGTGCTTTTACGACTTGCAACTGGAACGTGGTTAACTCAGCTGTGAGGTCAGTCCCAGCTCCGAGATCAGAGCACCACTATCCTGATGTAATTTTAAACATTTGAAATTGTGAAAATGTGATGTGTTTTCAAAGTCCTGATTGACGTAGATCTTAACAGCAGAGATTGTTAACAATATCATCTATCAGGGTGTGTCAGCCAGTCAGAGGCGTGTCGGCCAAAGCTCATGAAGTAATAAACACTTAGTCTGCCAACCTGTTGTTACACGTCAAATATGTTGCATGGTAAGAGTATTCAGTTCCTGATCGATCACTCATCGATGCCAACAAAGGAAGATCTTTACAGATGGCTTCATGAGCTCACTGTTTCTGATAAGTAGATATTGTCCTTTCTGATCAGCCTGCTGAAACACCAGCTTAACTGCTCTAAAACCCTCATCTAAAGAGACATTTTGAAGCATCTCAAATAGACAATGATTGTTAAAACTTTTACAATTTCTTGATCTGAACCGAAAATATTTGAAGTTAACAGCTGAAACAAAACACTGATTTATGAATTATTTAAACGTAGAAATTACTTGTCTTGATAGTTTTGTTTTTTTTTACCAACAAAAGTTTATAATTATAATATTAAGAAACAAAATAATTTTAATTAAAAAAGTAATTTCTTAATTCTGATTTAAAATGTTCACATTTTAAACATTTTACAATAACGCACGGATAGTGATAATGCATACATTATGTGGGAAGTAATTCTAAGAGTTTGTTGTTGATTTTTAAATAATAAAAAAAAGGAGTCAGATATGATGCCGCTTCCTCGTTTCAGGCGCCATGTTATAAATAGGCCTACGTTACGAACCACCTGTAAATACATGTTATTGTTCATTTTACGTATTAAGACTGTTAAATAATGTCATAGTTCATATTATGAAAACACACAGCGCCACTTTACAGTGAATAAAATGTACTTTTATGATGAACAAAACACACATTTTTAAAGACGTCACAGAGTTCCCGTTTTTACTTTCACTTTTGACAACAGCCCCAGGAACGTGTCAGAAAATACATAAAACGTGAACTTACCGCTGTTTACCGACATTACTGTCCCCAAAAGGACCAACAAGGCGATGGAATTCATGTTGAGTCCAATCATGTTCCCTTAGGATGTGTTGATAACCCTTCGCCCGAGAGCGTCCGTCGTGTAGAGAGTGTCCGTCGTTCAGAGAGCGTCCGTCGTGTAAGCCCGCAGTAACTAGAATGCTGCTTCCTGCGTTTGTCAACTGCCTCGTCTTGGTGGTGCATTCAAGGAAAGCTCGTAAAGTACATGTTGACTTTACGTTACTCATTTACGTAATTAACGGGAGGAGAACCCCTAACGATATGTTGTCATGATTTATATTTATAACTTCTTGTTCTTTTAAGACTAACTTAAGTGCTGTTTGAGTAAAAGTTAGAGTGTATAACCTCAATTACTTTTAACATCAACATTATTCAAGGGTACATGTGTAAGCGTGTATAATATTTTTCTCTATAAGAATAATCTGTAATTATATATATTATATCATGTAAATTAATTTACATACATATTGGGAATAAATATTAATTTTGTTATAATTTTGATTTATAATAATATTATTAATTGGGAAGCTGATATGTATTACAGTCTATGGATTTAACACATTTTTACTTTTACTTACATGTTAATCTAATTTAGCTGAGTGTTTGAGTCCCATTGTTATTATTGTTAACGAAAAACGGACAAAATAACTAAAACTCAAATGTAAAATTCAATTTCGTTGACTGAAACTAAAATAAAAACGAGGTTTTACCAAAACAGATAACTGAAACTGTATTCTTTTTTTTACAAGATTAATTAATATAAAAACTGATTTAAAAACTCAAAAGTATGATGACCTTGTGTCTGACCATTTTCTCTGCATTATATTTTCCACTGTTTGTCACATTACTTATTTTCTGTCTGTTTGTATATTCACCTTTTGTCTTTTGTTCTGGAATTTTAAAGAAAATCAATTTCTAAATTTACGGATGTCAGTTAACGCAGCACACCTAAAACTCCCCGATGTTCTCTGTTTTTTGTTGTTGTTGTTTTTTTGTCGGAGTTTTGTACAACTTTATCGTCTTCACCGTGAGAGGAGCCTGAATTTAAATCCATCTTAAATCCACTTAAAAGTTGATGTTTGGACTATAACCTTACAGGAGGATTACAAAAAAACATTTTGTTACACAAATTTAACAAACGACAGTACATCTACGGCAAACAACTGACTCTAAATAACACATAATAATACATAATAACAGAAAATATGGATGGAAAACCAACATATCGACGTTGTTATCGATTTATGCTTTAAAACGGCACATTACACATTACAGGACGACGGTTACGTCAGCGCGCGGCCGACCGCTGCAACGCCCAAATCAGCCAATCCAGGGATTTAGAAGTGGTTGCTAGGCAGATTACAGTGAGACAGGTTTGGGGTTTGGGCAGACAGCAGCAGTACAACAACTTGGAAGAAGAATCCGCGGTTGTAAATGTATTTGAACGTTTCGTGATACTACTGCTGTGTGAACAATACGGTACTATGACTATGAGTGGTATTCCTGCTTTTAGAAATACATAAAAGTAAAACATTACTAATTTAAACACATAACGTTACGTAACGTTTGAAAAGTGAGACGTTAGCTGATATTTTGAATCTACGGAGGCTCATTGTTGCCGATGTGATAAACAAATAAATCTTATATGCTCACAAAACAAGGACATACTATTTAAAATGGCATAATATCTCAGAATACAAACTTGTCAAACAATCAGAAACTTCCTTTTAGTTTAAAATGATGAGATACTTTCTTGAAATATTGACATAAATATCTCAAATAAAGACACTTTCTCAAAATGATGATTACAATTCTCTAAATAACAACTTGTTAGCTCAAGATATTGACCTGAGATCTCAAAATAATGACAATCTCGAGAAAATAAAGATTCAGTTTTCATAAATTATGAGAAACGTTAAAAAATGTTAAAATAAAATAAAAATACTTATCTCAAAATAATGAGAAACTGTTTAGGACTTTGTAATGACTTTTGTAATCCACATCGGCTGTTATAACTTTTTTTGTGTATTTGTCCTTTTTCCAAAGTGACTCCCTGTTTTGTGACTGTTTATCTAAATTGTAGTGCTGCAACAACGAATCAATAAAATCGATAAAAATCGAAAATGTAAGAAAATGTAACGTTAGTCTCTCCGGTTGCTCGGCTGGTGCTTGTGTTTACTTTTTATCTAGCTTGACAAGCATGAAAAGGTCATTAAAGTAATGTTAGCGTTAGCTGGTTAATGACGGTGGTAGAGCAACTTTCTACTTTGCCAATGCCAAACAAGCTTAGACTAAAGAAAACTTTTTATTATTTTGCCTTTTAGGCCCACTTTCAATACGTTGTCAGATATATTCTTTGCTTTTTTCCCATATTATTTTCTGTTGAAGTTGGATATATTTGTGTAGGTGTGTTTTCCATTTTATTTTAGTTTAATGTTTTTTTAAAGCACTTGGTCAGATTGCTGTAAATAAATAAACAATTAAAAAACGAATGTACTTACTAGAATGATTTAATAATTTAATGATTAAGCTTCCAGTGTTAGTTTTCTGTAATAAGGTGAAAGTTAATACACTGCACTGTATGCAAGTGCATTTACACACTTGATTAAATTTGTGTAAATAAGTAATTTTTAGGGTACCTACCTTTATGAGTGTAAATAAATATATATTCTAAAAACGTATGTTGTCTCTGCAAGTGCTCTTTGGGTTACTTGCCTTTACATAACAATAATTCATAACTAAAACAACAAGGCATATTGATTAGATGTAAATTGTGCTGTTTTACATACTAATACTATCTTTGTCATTGCAGAAAACAATCATGTTCACCACAGCAAACATCCGTCTTGACAGATAGCATCCTCAACATGCTCATCGCTGACAGAAGCCTCTGACGGTGGTTGAAAATGAAGATGCAACTTCACTACAATGATCCCCACCTTGAACCTTGGCTTCACTCTTCCCTCAAAGACCCATTTCACAAAGCTCATGGAGACGTCCAAGCAGTAACCTGTTGTTTTTGCACTTTTGTTTGCACTGTCAATGAACTAATGTTCTGTTTTTGAATAAACTTATGGAAATTCAAAATGTTTTTTTTTTATCCGATTCATCAATTAATCAGAAAAATAATGAACCGATTAATCGATTATTAAAATAATCGTTAGTTGCAGCCCTAAAAAGTTGCATACAGACTCGTTTCTACGAATAACGTTTAATATTTCAAGCACGCTGTTGACAGACTCAAACACCCAGTTCCACCCTTTCTTCGATTTTATTTTGCAGCTCCCGACTCTTTATTCATTGCTGATAAACAAGTCAACAAATCAACACATTTTACAAATAGTTACTTACAATAAATATATTTATAAATATGTATTTGGCCTACATGTTTTGTGTCAGACTTTGAATTCGACGTATACACTTTCACATTTACATGAAAATGAACCCTCATTCTGTCTGTACATTCAAGAACTAAGAAGTTTCTTGAAGCTTCTTTTGGGTATTACTCAGAAGACGAACCACTGAGAGAAAAAGTTAAGACCGCAGTGTCAGTGAACTACAACAAATGCATTTTGTTTATTTCTTGTTTTTCTTTTTTGTGTATTTTGATTTGACAGTTAAATCATATTTTGATTTTGTGATGCTGAAATCTTTCCTCACATTCTGCTCTTTCCAATCCCGGGTTCCTTTTATTTTTGAATAAATAGTTGATTCAAATTTAGTTTGAACTGCTCCTGTAGATTACTTCAGCCTGCAGCCACGAGGCGGGCTGTAATGTCTGTTATGTAATCCTTTGAGGCAAAAGCGTCGACCCAATTCCATCCACTGAGAGTGCCTGTTAGTGACACAGACAGACTCAAATCGTTATTCTAGGTATCTGACAAAAGGCCGGGGTGGTAATTTCCTCTAGATCTACTTTTTAAGATTTTGGTTGAAATTGTCTTCAGGTCCTGACAGAAATTAATAAATCATGTTCTCTGAAAAAGGAACAAAGAAAATCCGTCATCAGTAGCAGTTGTAAGCCTGTAAAAACTTCGACCAATGTCTGCCACAAGGTACCAATCTGATGAACCAATCACACACCTCCCTGTCTCCCTGCTCGCTCTCTACCTCTTGCGCGCACTAGCCCACACTCAAAGCGCGTCACTGATGACGGAGTTTATACTGTGAGTTTACTTACCGCTGAATGAGACATGCAGACGACGTAGTTTCTACACAATGCAAGCGATGAGCTGAGGTCCGCTTCTGGAGCAATGGCACTCGTGGATGTAAGTGAGGGGCGTGACTTTAGGGGGAGCGCAGAGGGGGTGGGTGTAGACGGAGCACTGAGGGAATGCTACTTTCAAAATCATGCTAGATTGGTAAAATGGTTTGTTTAAAATTCACACAATGACACAAACAAGCAAAAGGTAGACAAACAACTCCCACATTTTTGTTTATGGAGTTTGGTGGCTTTGAAAAATTGATGTAACGGTTTTTTATATAAAATAGAAGCATCTTATATATTTGTCCAAAGCTTAATCTCTGCAGGGAACTGTAAGAAGTTAAACGCTAATCCCCTATTTCCACAAACTCCACGCACACTGTGGTCCGTCAACGCCACCTTTTTTGCTGTCGGACGGCGCACTCCCTGCCCCACTTGATCTGTTTTTGGAACGTGAGCACAGCCAAGAGCAGCTGTACGCACATCACGGGAGATCTACAAGATCATGCGGGAATAAAGAGAACAACGTGCCGACGACATGTGTCTTTGTCTCTCTGAGGATGATTTGTTGTTCACTCGGCGCCTGTTTTGACATCATGTTGATAAAGTGATGGGACATATGATCAGGAGTCCATATATTGTGTTTTATTTTGAAATTGATCGGACACTGTGCGTTTCTTTGTCTTACTTCCTGTCCTGGGTCATTCTATTCTGTCCAGAGTGACGCTAGCCTGCAGCGTGCTCCGTGGAAAAAAGACTTACGGGGATAATGCTGCACAGAAAATAAATGGAACAATTACATAAAAACATCAGTTATTATGAATGTGCAAAACATTAGCTTTTCCCTGCGGCTCCGGAGATGGACTGCAGCGCTCGCTGTGGAAACTCAATCATGACTTGAAAGGCAGCGAACCAGACACACACGGAGTATGTGGAAACTGGGGGTAAGAGCAGAAATCTTTGAAATTACTTAAAAACAAAAAAAGTTTTTCATTTAGTAATTTGTTTGTTTGTTTGTTTTTTACCACATTTGCAAATTACTACTCAGTGTTCATCTTTGAGAGTCCGTCACGCAAACTCTCAATCAAACATAAAACAACAGAAGGACAATGAAAGAAAAGAACAAAGAGGTTTGGACTACGGAAGCCCGAAAGGACATGCATTTATTCTTACTTCTTTTTCCTGCGATAACGAGTAAAGATCGATCCAAAGTCTTAATTACCTCAAGATAACAACGCCTGTTTATCAGCGATAAACACTGGTTGATTCATTTCCGAGATCTTGACTTATTTATGTCGTTATTGCGGGGTCACAGCGCTGATCGTCCCGCCAGCTCATCAGCTAATTTCAGAAGATCTTGAGACATTAACTTGTTAAAAGCAGTGTCGTCCCGAGATAACGAGGTAGCTGGAAATTACTTGTCACCATGGAAGACAGAGAAAAATCAAGTGTTTGGAGGTATGTTTGCTTAGGGCTTCCGTAGGTCTACACTTTGTGGTAGGTAACTTTTCTGTATGAAGTTAAACACAAAGAACAGAAATCTGAGTCTTTCAGAGACAAAGAAACAGTCACTTTTGGACAAACTTTAATTTGGCGCATTAACCGGCTGAAGTAATCCACTGTAGCATTGTGAAGTGTTTCTCATCTTTTTTCACTTAGATTACAAAAGATGAAAATCAATAGGAATCTGCGTCGGTAGCCCTCTGCTCTGAGCATCATACTGCTTTCTACTTTTCAACAGAGTGATCCAATGCACAATTCTTTCCAGCAACATTTGGTTGCTATGAAGCATTTAAACACGCTTCAGTTCTAACCAGTTGCTGGGAGCTGTCTGCATTGCCAAGAAAATTGCTGAGTGCATCATCAACCTGATACTGAAAGAAGCTCCTCAAAGCTTCCCGTTTTAAACCCGTCCTCATCACTTCTTGTCCCCCCCTCTCTCATCATCCATCCCTCCCCTGACTGTCCATTATTTCCTCCCAAAGCGAAAACCGAATCCTCCTTTCTCCCGGCTGACAGCTTGGAGTCCTCCGGCGATGAAGGTCAGAGCATCGTTCCTCTTCCCTCCGTCCTCTCCTCCGTCCTGATAGCTCATGCTCTCCAGAGAGTGACTGCCGGGGAAAGGTGACAGCAGCTGGGCCTTCAGGTCTCCTCTCTGGGTCCTCAGCAGAACCTCCTCCTCCCAGGGCCGCTCCTCCTCCTCCCTCCTGGGCTCCAGCAGGCCCAGCAGGGGGGCGTTTGGAGGGATGAGCCACGCCATGCTTGGGTCGTCCAGAGCAACCTGGAGTTGAAGGAGGGCAGACTCCAGGTCTTGTCCATCCTCCCTGGGTAGGAGGGCGTTGAGGGAGTGGGGGTACGATGTGACGGTGCGTGGGACGGAAAGGAGGAGAGTGAGGGAGAGGAGGGTGAGCTGAGAGACGCCGAGATGGAAAGAAGGGCTCATCTGGAAATGGAAAGAAGAATCTTTGCTTTCCTCTCTTGTTGGTGTGCAAACTGAACATGATTTAACACTTAAGACAAGACGGGAAGAAAGTAAAAATAATTCACAGAAATCATGAAAGAAAATCAAAGATGCACCACTCTTAAAAAATTATGTAGACGTGTTCATGCAGCACTCAGAAAACTGTCAAGTTAGGCTGTTTGGTCTTCACTACGCTGACATTTAGATGCTCTCTCGCATGTTGAATTATTTCTTCTGTCGTAAATATAGTCAGACCTCTTTGTTAAGAAGCCTTTCTGGAGATAATAATCAAGCATTCAAATACAATGTATTAATTATAAAACAGAAACAGGGGTGATCTCACTCTGCTCAGAAAGAAAAACTGTCTGCATAAGAAAGCCCAGAAAACACATTGGCTGCGTTTGACAAATTCTCTTGAAGAACATTTATTTTAAAGGTGTAAAAATTGTCGTTATTTAAAACAAAAAATTGCAAGAGACTTACAAAAACTTACAAAAACTTACAAGAGAAGAAAAACGACATGAAAATGTAGATCATCCAAACTAGCGTCTTACCTTGTGTCGCGATCTAAGTTGCTGTATCTTTTCTAACATTTGTCGACCTTTTTAAAATCTACCCGCCCTCCTTTCTACCCGACCCTCCCACCCCAAGGACACGGCCGTTGCCTATTGGTCCCCCATGCTCCTCTGACGCACAAGTCAGCGCAGACCATCGTAACCTTCATTCTTTCAGCTGAGAAACTGCTGAGTGTCTCCGCAATTATCGGCGCTTGATGAGGAAGCTGCAATTCATTAAGATGTTTCTGATGGGGGGGGTCGCTTCTTTTGTCATCCTCATCGCCATGAAGGTCATCTCACTGGGGACACGGAAACACACCTGAAAGAATTTCATTCAAGCAGTTTGTGTTCTTGGAACTGATGACAGATCAATGGCTCTGAAACTCAAACTACATGATGCCAACTTCGTTTGGTAGCAATTATCTGACAGAGACTGCGACCTCGTTTGACGTTTGGCTCAGAAATTTTTTTAAATGTTGGGCTGTTTTCAGATTGATGTTTAGTTGAATATAATTTATTGAAGTTAAAAAATCAGCTTTAAAAAATTCTGATTTATCATATTTCTGACCTAATCTTGATGTTGTTTTTTAAAGGTTAATTTTGGGGCTTTTTGTGCATCCACAATCCGGGGAGAGAGAGCGAAAGAGAGGGGAATGACAGGTCGGATTCAAACTTGGAGGGCATAGTCTCTGTACATGGGGGCGCACGTGTGGCACCCTGGGTATTTTAGTAGCTAAGACTATGCCTGTGATTATTGGTTATCAGTTATAGTTATCAGTCAGTTATATGTAACATTTTATGGTTAAATGTCATTTAGATGATTTGTGTGATTTAAAATAGGAGGGATTCACCTGCTTAGGCTGTAAGTACCTGCAGGGCAATATTCGTTGTGGCCAGTAGGTGTCAGTAGCAGCATTGATATGGCAACAACTGGCGCTGTTCCTGTGTATTGCAGGAAGTAAGAACAGTTGTATCGCATCAGACAGTCTGCAAAGCAGCACTATATGCCGATTGACTGTCTTTCTGTTGTGTTTGCAGGTGAGAGATAAGTGCACAAGCAGCGAAAACATTTATTTTAAGTACATCTTCATGGGTTTAATAATGTGCATGTTAGAAATGTTGTTTATGTTAGATAACATGAAAGCTAACTAGCGCTAGCATCGGTAGCCTCTTTCGACACGTGAAGCGCGCTAGCTATGTTAAGCATGCATGACTGTATTCATACACAGGTTTAATGTTTATAAGATACCATATGCATTGTTGGTTCACAGAAATAGTTATTTGTAAAGACAAAACTATACATTTAATATTTGCTGTCAAGTGTTTGTTACGTTTGGAGACTGATAGCAAAGTTACATTGTTAAAGGGATACTTCACCTATTTGCATTAAGCTTTGTATCATTAGAAACCTGATAGTATTTTTGAATGGTCGTGCATCCCGCCCTCATTTTACCCTGCGATGGGAAATCTTTGTATTTCTGAGTCTGAAAGGGAGCTTCCAGTGACGCAAAATGACGATTTTTGCGTCACTGGAAGCTGTTGCGGTTAGCGGGGTGAAACTACAACGCTAGTTCCTCATATTTTCGACCACTGAAGCTACAGACCTATCACAGATCAGTGGGTGGGAACTCACTCCCAGAATCGAAACTTAACGTCCGCCATATTGCTTTGAAGCTATGCTAACAGGCTCTATGGAGAAAAGGCTGATAATGGCAAAAAAATATAAATATAGCGGCGAGACTGCTGCTGCCGACAGGCCGGTCTTGTGTCGTGGCTGCTGCAGTCTCGTGGCTATATTGATATATTGCTGGCCGCCGCCACCAGCCGCTGCAAGCTCTGCAGCTGAGACATAAGGCCTGCCTGTCGGCGGCGGTGAGGACGAGGAGCCGGGGCCGGCTCGAGCTGGGGCGGACTGGTAGTGTTGGTGCTCTCACTGTTGGCTCATGGACACAGACATAGAGTCTGTTTTCTGCCAGGAATTTCCAAGATGCGGAATCAGTTGAGGACTTATGTGTTGAAGTAAATATATGTCTGTAACTAGAGGACCTTAGTGGGAGTGGCCTTCGGTGCTGTACATTCTGGGATTTGGTGTCTTTCATCCACATGAGCCAAAAAGACACTTTCTGCCTTTGAGTCAGTGAGTGTGTGAGGGTGGACATCGAGATTAGGCAGAACAAACACCTAGCTGTGGGAGTGTCACCCACCTGGGGGAGGGGTTACTGCCCTTTGTGATGTCATGAAGGGAAAATCTCCAAACGGCCTGTTTGAGCACACATTTTCTGAAAAGTGGAGCAGGCAAAAGACGGAGAGGATGGACTTTTCTCATCATTGGGGGGATTGTAGACATACTAGGGGCACATATTAGTGAACAACATGGTGAAGTGGATTTTAGAGAATATGTGACCTTTAAGTAATTTATAAGCTCAATAACTTCCAATATTTATGAATTAATCAACAAGTTTCCTAATTGTATGCATACTGTACGTCATGTTAACACACGGGTTTGAGAAAGCAGCAAAAGGAGGATGAATCGTGTGTTACACAAAGAGGACGTTTAGAGAACAGGTCTTTCAGGAAACAGTTTTATTCTCCTTCAGGTGTCACACAGGAAGAGAAGAACCTGAAACCAGACGCTTGTTTTCTCAGCAGACGTACGACAGTTTGAAAATCTACGAAGTGTTCATTGTTGGTGTTGAAAGAAAACAGAATAACCTACAAAATAAGTTTTCTCCCACCTGTTGCTGGATTGATCTGAAAGCAGTTTATGATCAAACTTTCTCTTGTTTCTAAAAAGAAGTCACTCACAGATTGAAACCCTCGATTAGCAGTACTGTGGCCTAAAACTACTCTCAGGATCAACCACTCCTTCTGCTCCTCCTCTTGCCTCTCCAAAGTCCTCGTAGGCCTCCAGAGAGGAGGCACACCCCGGTGCACTCTGAGAGTCGTAGTCCAGGAGGAAGTCTGGGCTCTGCAGCAGCTGATGAGGCTGGTTGAAGGCCGAGCTCACAGGTGGGTCGCTGAGCGGGGAGGTGAGCAGAGAGAGCTGCAGGTGGTCGATGGTGCTGTTGGGGAAGGGACGTGATTGGTCCAATGAAGAGCAGTTTGGGGGCGGGGACCGTGTTGGCATGGTAACACCTCTCAGGGGAGCGGAGGGTGAGTTCACCCCGGAGTCCTCAGTGCTGAGGGAGCGTCTCAGTTTGGCCCGAGCGTTTTGAAACCACACCTGGAAGAGTGTGTGTGTGTGTGTGTGTTTAAAGGTGAGCGGAAGAAGCACAGGGGATTATTTCTTAAAGGGATAGTTCAGATACTTTTATGCCACAGCTTAACTTTGAAAAAAGCAAAACACTTATCTTCATCCTAAATTAATAGTGTGTGTGTGTGCGTGCGTGCGTGCGTGCGTGTGCGTGCATGTGATTGTGTGTGTGTGTGTGTGTGTGTGTGTGTGTGTGTGTGTGTGTGTGTGTGTGTGTGTGTGTGTGTGTGTGTGTGTGTGTGTGTGTGTGTGTGTGTGTGTGTGTGTGTGTGTGTGTGTGTGTGGAAACTTAAAATGTGAACCTCTCTGTCGTTGACCTTCGTTGTACGTCGTACCTGCAGGACTCTCTTGGGCAGGCCGGTCTTGTGTGCGAGGCAGGTCCAGTCTTTCCCGTCCGGGTTGTGTTTCTGGGCGAAATACGTTTCGAGCGCTCGGAGCTGCTCGCTGCGGAAACACGTCCTGATTCTCTTGGTCCTCCTGCGGGTCCGCTCACCTGCTCCCCTGTCATCCAATCGTGGCTCAGGGCTGCTGACAGACTCCTCCCCTTCAGCTGAAGCCTGATTTTGAGCTGTTTCTCACACAGAGAGTCTTTTGTTAGTAAGTGGAGTTTTAGTTTTGAAGTCCCTTTTCAAAGAGTGGGTTCTTCATACGTGATCATAGGTTTTGCTTAACCAACAAATCATGAACGAAAACGTGAGAGTGTAGTTAACTCTGGAGACAATGCATGCCTGCTCAAGTTTCAAGACATTACACGGTTTGTCCAGCACGATGTTTTACAGCAGCGTCTGATTTACTGCAGCCTGCACTCGTCTGGGACGGCTAAGCTGCCCTCTCTGGTATCATATGGACGTCTTTAAAGAGCTAGCATCCAAGCTAGCTAAGTTCTTAGATTCCTTTAACTTTGACTATAACGGCCATGTACAGGACTTTGTGTAATGAGTTTTTTACTGCTGAGCCAGTGGCGAGGGCAGAAGACCAAACAGCAACATCATGATGGTAAACTGCGCTTGCGTGCTGTGATCCGACAGCTTAAATCAGCCTCATTAGATAACTTATATGTGTTTGACTGGGTTATGTAATAAAACAGAAACCTGTTAATCAACTGTTAGGCTCACTTTTTACGTTAGCTCTGTTACGAGGTTAACAACATGCTACATGTTGTTGACGGGATGGGGTGGCTGCTAAACTATAGTATTTCCATTCACATACAGTTTAAAGGTGCATACCGCCACCTAATGTACAAGAGTGTTCACCGTCTCTGATCCCCTCTGTTTCTCCCTCTGTGTGAAGGACAATTGAAACCTATTGGACAGAAATGAACACATGACCACGCTCACCGTCTTTGGTGTTTTGTTCGGGCTGGTCGTCTGTTAGCGTGAAGCTCCCGTCGTCGTGGTAATGAGACTGACAGTAGATGTTCTGACCCTGCATGCAGTACAAGTTCCCTGGAATCAGTTTGACGTCACAATCCTGAAAAACATGATCATTATATAATATATCTGATATAGTTAGATAACAATGACACAGAGTTTTCAGTTGTGTTTTTAGAATACAGATTAAAAATGGCAGATATAAATTAACCCATAAAGACAGATTTATAAAATAACTAAAAGCTAAAGTTGTACTGTATGTACTGTGGATCTGTGGATCACCTGGCAGGAGAAGCAGTGAGGGTGAAACGTCAGATCACCAGACCTCATGACCAAAGCGGACGCCGGGATTGGCTGGAAGCAGCGAGCGCACTGACCGCCTCCGAACATCCTGAAGGGGAGGAGAAATAAATGAGAACAGGTGACACACGTCAGGAGGTACGGACGGACTCTGTGAAGATGGTTAGGATGGTAAGGATGTCAACAAAGTTCAGTGTAGAGAGAGAGAGAGAGAGAGAGAGAGATGCACCACTTACAAATGCACCATAAAAATGATTCATATTATTGTTAATGTTTTTTACTCATATTTGTTATATTTGTATAAAGTGTTTTCATTTGAGTAATTAAGACAGTTGCTGTACTCTTAATGATAAAAAGTCAAATGTCACTCAGGTGGGTTTAGTCCACAGGAGAACAGATTCTTGTGCACGCAGCAAAGCAGGAGCCTCATTGGTCAAGACAGCTGTCAATCATGATGTCATACTCATTATATCATCAAATAATTAATAATAACTAAAATTCTCAGAAACATAAACATGGTGACGTAAATCATCATGATAAGAGCCAACTATGAAGACAGAAACCATCTTTTGAGAAACATTTTGATTTTATAGTTTGTCCCATCTATTTACATGGAGGAGGCGGAGCTTATGACCTAAACTGCAGCCAGTCAGCAGGGGGAGCTCTAAATGTTTTGGCTTCACTTTTCTGGAGCTGTCATGTCGTCCATCTTCTTGATTACTTCTTTAATATAGAGATTGTAGTGTTGATGTTAAGAGGATCTTCAGTTTGGTTCATCAGGTAAAAACTGTTTTCCTGTAACTTCCTCAACCGCAGACTGAACCTGCCTCTCTCTCTTTGTTCGGAGGTGATGCCCGACCCCTCAGCTGGATTAAAACATTTATTAAAAACGGGATCTTTTCTCTGACCTGCAGTAGTCCTGTTGGCAGTAGATGTTTCCGTCCCTCCAGTAGAGCGAGGGGTGCGTCTGCAGCTCGCAGTGACACTGGCTGCAGCGGAGGCAGGCGCCATGCCACACCCCGCCCGCAGCCAACAGGAAGAACCGGTCGCATATCTGCTCGCCACAGCCGGTGCACATCATCGGCTCCTGGATGGACACGGCTGCAGGAGCCTGAGACGGAAAGACAGACAGATTTATTTATTTTTGTATTGTGATAGTGCTTCACAAATGTTACTACTCGATAAAAGAAGCTACGATGCGATGCTTTGTTGTCCCATTTGGGAAAATGTGTGTGCTGCACACATTTTGTTTCCTCCACAGTCATATTAATATTTGTATTTAAACTCTGTCATGCTCACATTGTCTGCAGCAGCAGCCCTCTCCTCTGCACCCTCCGGGGTGGCGTTAAGCTCCGCCCCCTCCACCTCATCACCAAGGTCACTGCTGTACAACAGGTCCTCGAGGGCTCGGTCATCCGGCGACATCATGATTGTCCTGAGGAGGAAGAGGAGGTGATTATCAGTCCACTCGTTAATCACTGCCCTTGTTAGAGCTCTAAAAACGGCCTCATTAAACGACTCTATTAATAAATAACAACAACAGACATGAAACACCTGAGACACACACACCTGGTCTCTCCCTCCAACATGTGACTGTAAGCCTGCACAGATTATTATTCCATCCATCCATTAAACACAGCCGGCGTTTCTTATCTGAATACTTTGCAGGGACTCTTCAGGTAAAACATCACACACCTGACATCATGACATTTTCTCTCTTTTAAAATCCATTCTAAAATGTTTAAACTGCTGCTGCAGGTTTTAAATGTAATTACTAAATCATAACAGCATCTTTTCTTAATCTTAACCATATTTATTTGATATAAACATAAGAATCCTCGTATTATATCGGAGTGACTGTGGATCAGTGGTAGAGTGGGTCATCTCTCAACCGGAAGGTCGGGGATTCAATCCCCAGCTCCTGTAGCAACATGTTCGATGTGTCCTCGGGCAAGACACTTTAACCCCGAGTTGCTCCCGCTGCATCGTCGGCGGCGTGTGAATGTGGGAGTGTTGTAGTTAATACCACTCTAACCCAGACCAAGGCATACCCCAGACCAGAGTGCTCCAAGACCAATACAAGACCAAGACCAAGGCAAAGCGAGACTAAGACTAGACCAGGACCATAAATATCACTGTTAAATGATCATCTTGTGTGCAGGGGGCGTGTCACTTAGAGCAGAACACCAGGGAAGGTTGCGGCTGTAACCGGGGGATAAAAGTCAAACTACAAACAAACCTTCTAATCACAGTCATGATGTGGAAGCCAGTCAGTGGTGGTCTTGACTGGTCTTGATTTAAAATCTTGAGTCAGCCGAGTCTGAGACGGAGACAAGACCAAGTAAAAATGCTTTGGATTCTGAGACCTTCAAAAAGTGGTCTCCATTTGGAGTACTACAACACTACTGAATGGATGAGTTAATACTGATGCACTCTTTACTCAGCAGCCTCTACCAGCAGGGTGTGAATGTGTCGATGTGACATGACATTGACATTTGTTACCGTTCCTTTGAGCTGTTTGAGCTCAGTTTGGGATCCCTAACCACTTCCTGTTTCTGTGCTGAACTTCATGTCTTAACCTTCCAGCTACAGAAAGGGCCTTGCTGTATTTCAAAATAAAGGCACACAGGAAGTAAAGTACTTTCAGCTGAAGACAGAACGAACATTCAAAATAAAAGCCTCACTATTTTTATTTTTAAACCCAATAATGAAATTTCAAACATCGTAATAAAATCAATATAACAATGTAACTTTGATTCTTTTAATTCAGCTTAAATAAGGAGACATAAAGAAGCTTACCTGTGCTGTGAGGAGACTCCTGGTTGGTTTCCTCTGAGCACGCTCTAAAGCGTCTCTTCAAGCGACAGAAAACGATATGTCCTCCCGAAAGCTCACCTGAGCGCTCTCACTCCTGCAGGTTTCTCTGCCACCTGCTGTCTGGTGGTTTCGGGATCATCCACCTGAGATCTGTTTCCACCAATCAGAATCACAGAATGTGAACTGACAGCAGCATCAGCACCTGTCCCCAGTGACTTCCCGACACTCACCTGTAAACAAGAGGTGGCTCACAGCACAAACGAAGAGTGATGTGATTGGCCGCCTGGTGAGCAGATAGGTGGAGGCGGCTGCACCCTTGGGACTAATTAAAAATAAAAAAAGGATTTTTAAAAGGACGTCTGGGATGGAAGGAGGACGGCTCGATCCCAGCAGGTTTCTGTTGACTTTTCTTTTCACACAGAGAGCTTATATCTGAAAACAGATTTAAACTTTTGATAATTTACTGAATAAATTGACTTTACGGATATAAAACAAATAAAAGACAAGGCAGGGATTGCTCTTTCATCCAAGATCTGTTGCAAACAATAACGTGTCATATATATTTCTTGAGAAGAAGATAAACTTCCCCATTTTAAAACGTGCTGAATTCCTTCTCATAGCATGTACTGTACATCCTTCCATTATCTATTCCGCGTTTCCTGTTCTGGTTCTTTGGGGCTGGAGCCAATCCCAGCTGTCATTGGGTGAGAGGCGGGGTTACACCCTGGAATGGTCACCAGCCAATCACAGGGCTGACATACAGAGACAGACAACCAGTCACACTTACATTCACACCTACGGACAATTTAGAGTCGCCTAACGAGCATGTCTTTGGACTGTGGGAGGAAGCCGGAGTACCAGGACAGAACTCACGCATGCACGGGGAGATCATGCAAATGCCACACAGAGAGGCTCCTGTCAGACAGGGATTCAAACCAGGAACCTCCTCGCTGTGAGGAGACAGCTCTAACCACTGAACCAGCGTGCAGCCAAACATGTTCAATGAAACTTCATACAGAATGTGCTGTTAGTTTTTAATGCAGGTATAATCTTAATGAGTGCAGATGTGTAAACGGCTCGAGTATGACCTTTCCACTTCTAAATTTAATTAAAGAACTTTTTATTTTTATAAATAAGTGGTGAAAGTATTTTGCATTTGTACTTGACAGAAAGTGTTTAATTAAAGCACTCAGAGAACACAAATATCAAGCACAATGTCGATACATAGTAGTAAAGTAGGAGAAGTCTTTATCTGCAGCTCAGTGCAGTCTCATATCCTGGTGATGAAGTGGTGGGTCGATGATGACAAAACAAACAGTGTAGGTTTGATTTTCAAACATTTTATTATCATATTCCTTTAGGCAGCTTAATAAAAATAACACTACAAAAAAATGGAGAGATTTACAGAAAGACAACACGGAGAGGATTTTCACCACAACAAACAAACTAAACTCTCCATCACTCACCTGCATCTGATGTAGCTTAGAGCGGACAGCATGTGGCGCTGCTGAGCTTTAAAGCAGGGCTGAATCAGAATCTGAACGGTGATTTAAAGACCTTCAAACCACCAGCAGACCCTGCGTTTGGTTTTGTTTCAGTTGGAACATTTATCATTAACAAACAAACCTGTACATCTTCCCTTTTAAGTCTGAAAAGCAGAAACATTTTAAATGTTTTTTTGCTTAAATAGCAACACAATCTGCAATGTGAAAACAATGTGGTTGATGCTTATGCCTGCAGAAATCCAGTCAGAAAGTTACCTCTAAGATTAAAGTGCTGCAGACATCAGCGACTTTTACACCAATACAAATATTCTGTTTACACTTGTGGTGTGTTAATTTATCAACATTTTTTAAATTAAAGGTGAAGCTGGGTAGGAAACATGAGTTGCCTGTTAATGCGGGTGAACTGGCCCTTTAAGTACAGAGATCAAGGGAGCAAAGATAAAACTGAATGAACTGTACAATCTACAGTAAAATACTGATAACTGACCTCTATACACATGAAAAAATATGACTTCAACTCTGCTGAAGTGAGAGCAACGCTCTCTTTTATATAAATGTGTGTGTGTGTGTGTTTGTGTATGTATCTGTATATGTGTGTGTGTGTGTGTGTATGTATCTGTGTGTGTGTGTGTGTGTGTGTGTGCGTGTGTGTGTGTGTGTGTGTTTGCACATGTTTAAACACACTGCCGTCCATGCATGTGTTGTGTTTAGCAGTTCATTCTCCTCCTCTTCATCCTCTGAAGGCCGTCGGTCTCATCTTCATCTCAGTGAACGAGATGGAGTGCTCTTTCCCTTTCCAGCTGGTCCAGATAATACCCTGAAAAACACACACGCACACACACACAATAGTCAGCACAGAGACTCAAAGTGCAAAAGTGCCATAACTAAGCTGAGCCAAGAGCCACGTCTTTGTACGTTCATATTGACGGCGTAACATTTGTGTCTATGTGAATTCCACGCACGCACACACACAGCACTGAACTCCCCCGCTGCCTACGCTGAAGCCGTCTCACACCTGTAACGCCTCTCTGTTACTACCTCCGAAGACAGTGCAGAGCGGGGATAACTTCAAATTACGACTAAACAGCAGTGGAATAAAGTCGACCCCTTCGGACGAGGTTACCTGGTGTTTGACGTCAATGCCGTAGAGGCCATTGAGGTTGGCCTCGTGGCAGTTCTTGTACCACCAGCCTCCTCGGTATGACATGGCACAGCGGGTGATGAACGGCGTTGGGTCGCGGTCTTTGGTGGAGAAGAACCGGCTGTTGTGATAAGTGAGAGAGTCGCCTGAAAGATGAAGGACAAGAGGAATGAGGAATGTAATTAAAAGTACAGAAATAGGTAAAAAAACAAAAATAATAAGAAAACTATAAGTTTTATTACATTTTATTAATTACTTGTAGGTAAGTGAGTGTTAAGTAAAAGTTTCCATTTAAGGGCGAGTGTTAGTTTTAGCCTGTTTTCTTGTATTTAAGGGTCAAAATACATAATGGGTACAAAATGCTGGGGTCTTTCTTCTTCTCTCTAGTCCTTGACTAAAACAGCTTTTATACTCAAGGGGAGGAGCCAGCCATCCCGTCCATGTAAACACGGCTCTGACAATAACAGAGCCAGTGGGACAAGCTTCTCACTAATTGTAGACAGCCATGACTCAGAGACACATTTACACAGGATAGACTTGATATCTGATATATTTATGGGTAACATGTTGAACAAAAAGGTCTATTTCTGTAAAACAGAGAAAAACAATCTGAGCCTGTCAGGGACAAAAAAAAAAACTACTTGATATTGTAGCCATTACAGCCTGTTTAGCAGCTGTTGACCTGAGAAGTCTTCAGGATCCAGGTTAAAAAATGTGAGGATGAAAGATCCGTCTCTTCCTCTTACCTGCAGTGCCGCTGTATCCGCCCACAGTCAGTTTGTAGTTCCTTTTCGCCACTTCAAAGGTTGAGTATTTAGCAAACACTGACTCATCTATGTCTCGCAGATCGACTCGCAGATTCATCTTGGTAAACGAGGTCAGGTTGTGGAGGCTATCAAGACCTGAAAGAGGACAAGATTAACCAGTTTCAGATGAACTCTTGACTTATTTTTGTTTTTCGAGTAAAAAGAAGTCCTTCACTGTTAAGTATAAGACTGGCAGCATTCTCAGTATGCTTCAGTTTTATATTAAGCTTCTCTCACCCAGCCAGAACTCTCCACTCAGATCCCCAAACCCTTTCTGGTAATCCTTCCAGCCTCTGAAGAAATCCACCGAGCCGTCCTTTCTCCTCTGGAAGACCTGCAGACAGGAATCACAGACCAGGTTCTACTACAGAAAACATCAAAACGATTTGAGATTACAGGCTGAAGAACATTTATCGTACTATCCAGCCCCCTCCGTCTGTCTCCATGTCGCAGTAAACCATCATCGATGTCCCGAGTTTCCCCTGAGGGAAGATCTCAACCTCCCCTGATGTCTTGATGCCGTTAAGCAGCTCCTGAGAGCAGTCTGTGGGGAAGGGGAACCTCAGGGTGCCTAAGGGAGACGAAGACGAGATGTTAGACTTTAGCGTTCCATCTTTTGTGAACCCTGACTTACGTGTAACATGTGAGCAGCTGTTACCAGTGGTGAACTCAGTAAAGATGGCAGCAGAGTAATGTCCTCCCTCCGCTGCCTGCAGCTGCACCTTGTACTTGGACCCAGGATGAAGTCTGGTCAGGTTGAACTGAGTTACTGCTGCATCTACAATCAACTCCTGTGGGCAAAACACACAGAGTAATTTCCAATGGTGCCCATGTACAGACAACTATGGAGCAGATTCAAATCAAATCATCTGAAGGCTAGGGCGTAAAGTGGCTTTAAGCTAAAGATTGAAACAAACACTGATTGGACATGTTAAATAATTTACTCAAGTTCTGCCCACAAGGACAAATCTGGGGCATTTGTGCTCTACTTTAATATATATCCATGTTTTGTGTGCAAGAACTACAGGACGCTCTGAGAACATGCATAAAAAAATAAAAACATTTGACTGCCAAATTTCACCTTCATTTCCTGATCTTCGGTCTGATATGTCAGTCTGTAGCTTCCAACGGGTTTTGAGGGGGGGTTTCCATGACAACAGAGCGGTGCGAGGGGTCACGTTGCTAGCCTGGAGGTCTCGAGGATTATCCCCATGTCCCCCAGAACCTGCAGAGGAAAATCATTAAGTTATATGAAGGTGTTTCTTTTGATCACAGTTAAGTTACTACTCTCTTCTACACATTTAGGGGACAAAGTCAAAAGTATGCTCACACCAACATGTTGCTGTGACTCGGTACACTGTGAAACTGAATTGCCCTTCTGGGATAAATTAAATCTAAATCTGAATAAAGTACAAGACTTATTTTATATAATAAAACCATACAGACCATGTTGTATTCACTGCAGTGTTTCCCCTACCATTATATTAGCCCCCCCCCACCCCCCCCCCAAAAAAACAGCTGTAAACCTAGGGGAAACACTGCACTGTCACACTATGTGGTTTGATATCAGTGCTGTAGAAAATCATTAAATCAAACTGCAAAATCAGAAACAGAGAAGAAAAGTCCTCAAAAGTAAATGTTAAAAATTTTATTTTGATAAAAAAGGATTAGAAACCGAGGTACACATACAGTTTGGTTTGGAGTGATGGTCCCCTGTTTGTACTATAAGAATGTATTAGTGTGTGTGAGTACACTGGTATCTGGTGGTAAAGCTGAAAAACTTAAAAAAGTAATTTGAAGTTCAGTGACAAAAAAAATGCTACATTTTGTAATCTATTTATATTTTGTCATGATGTTTCAAAATAAAGGTCCTCACTCGGTCTGCGGAGAATGACGGTCCCCTGTTTGTAGCATAGGTATGTACGTGTGTGTATTGACCTCTGCTGGTGTTGAGGCTAAAAACGTCTTCTTTTTAGTACATCCGCTTAAAGTTTCAAGCCCTTCTTTAATATGTTAGAAACGCTAGAGGGTGTCAGTCCCATCTTAGCAATTTGTGTTAATTATTTATTTCAAATAAATACATTAATGTTAAAATACTTCAAAAGTAAATGTTTTATGTCTCTTAATATGTGAAGAGTGATGGGCCGCTGGCATGCATGTTTGTTTGAGTGCACTGACCTCTGGTGGTACGTTTTAACAATACTTGAGGATTAATGTAAATCTTCAATAAATTAAAAAATAATGTAAAGTGAAGTTATGGGAAAAGACCTCAACAGAAATGTTTAACTCTTTACATTTTATTTTAAACAATAGAAACAGAGGGCCAAAAATAAAGTGATGATCCCCTGTTGGTAGTAAATGTGTGTCTGTGTGTGAGTGCACTGCCCTCTGGTGGTGGTGAAGCTGAAATAGTCTGGGGGGGATTATGGAAATTATCTTAAATATTAATTTAAAGAAAACTACTTTGCAACAAAGTTAAGGGGAAAGACCACATAGGTACATTTTCTACTCTATATGTTTTCCAAAATGATATCAAAACAAAGATCCTCACTTGGTTGGTTTAGAGTGACAGTCCTCTGTTTGTAGGACAGCTATGTTTGTGTGTGTGTACTGACCTCCGGTGGTAGTGAAACTGGTGGTGGCCTCTGAGCTCTCCTTGTTGCCCAGCTGGCTGGTTATGGTGACGGTGTAGGTGGTGGATGCCTCAAGGCCGCTCAGCCTGTGTTCTGCTGCGTTTCCAGACACTGAGATCCTCAATTCTGAGTCTGAAACAACCCAAAGCAGTTAAATTCAAAAGAGGATATTTAACAGCCAACAGGGAAGACTAATCTTTGGTTTCTATCACCACTTACCCGTTCCAGAGCCGTAAACAATGGCGTACTTGTCAACGGCGGCCAATGCTGGTCGCCACAATAACAAGGCTTTGGTGTCTGTGACATTTACGGCTCTGAGGTCTGTAGGGGGGTCAGGTACTAAAAAGAGAGACACACAGACACATTTTTTTGTATCTGCACCAAAAACAAACCAAACATACAAAACAACATGCCAAAAAAGCCCCCAAGAATGAAGAATGATGCTTGAATGTATAAAAGAGAAAACAAGATTTTGCACTGTGAGACAGATTTCGTTTGGTTACACCATCAACGATGGGAATCGTCTGACAAAAGAAAACTGTTTTGAAAGGACACAGCACTGAGCAAATCCAAGATGAGTCTCCTTTGAGTAAAAACTCACAGATGGTTTCCAGATCAAACACCTGCTACAGATATAACCATATGACCAATGATTTCAGAATGAAACTAAAGAAGATATGCAGGTTTGAAAATGTCACATATCCCAAAATGCAACTCTTTATCTCATCTCCATAACTGTTTAAAACACTTCATAATTAATGTAATTAAGAAACAGGGACTGAAAGAAATCATTAACAGACATTTACAATGCAGAGATATTCCCCTTTAATAATACAGGCGGCCTGAGATGTATATCGTATTTTCTCATTGTTTTAATGTTCAGCTTCTCTCAGCTATGACAGTAAAACAGTAAGTAAAAACTGAAACCCTGAAGACTTACAAGTTGTGACAAAGTCTTTTAATGGATCGCTCTCGTCCAAACCAAGCACAGAGATGATGCTGACCTCGTAGGTGGAACCAGGTGAGAGCTGAGAAAGTCCTAAAGTGGAGTCACCTGAGTCCACAGTCACCGACACTGGCTCACCTGCAAGGACAACAGATTCAACATAATACTACTAATAATAATAACTTTATTTATATAGCACCTTTTAAAAACACAGTTTTACAAAGTGCTTTGACAAACAGCAAAAACAAGAACAAAGCAAACTAAACCAAACACAGAAGAACATAAACAACAGCAAGAACAAACAATGCAAAATACTAAGAATAATTAAATACAATTCAACAGAAAAGAACCCAAAGTGCACAATACCCAACAGACATATATAACCCGACCATCACAAGAACCATCATAAGAACCCAGGCAAAACAAGAAGCCAACAACACGAGCTGAGACCAAGAGGACCAAAGATTTAAAAAGATATAAGAAACTAAAAGAGCTAAAATCAAATAAAAAGATAACAGCAATAAGAAGGTAAGAGCAGTAAAAGAAATAGAAACAAGTGGTTAAAGGATCAAAAAACCAAAAACTATAATATTAATAAAAATAAAAAGTAAATATAAATATGAAACATAAATAGACAAAGTAAGATAAGAAATTACCAAGTTAAAACATAAGAGGAGTTAAGATAAGAGCATAAATATGAGATAAGAGCATAAATAAAGAGCATAAATAAAAGGACAGTAAGAATTAAAAGAAGCTAGAAATAGTAAAACCAGTAAGAAAAGACATTAAGAAGACAACATCACATAAAAGCAAGTCTGTAAAAGTATGTTTTAAGAAGGGATTTAAAAGAATTGAGGGAATCTGCGAGTCTTATCTCCTCAGGGAGGTCGTTCCAAAGTCAAGGGGCCCTGACTGAAAAGGCCCGGTCACCTTTAGTTTTAAGTCTCGACTTTGGAACGACCAGGAGGCCCCCCACCTGAGGATCTAAGACATACCTTTCCTTTTCAAGCTGAAATGTCCAAGATATTTACAGCAAACTAACAAATGTAAATTAAAGGCTAATGGATATTTTTTAATTTAAAGGCCACTGTATATGAAGGGTATGAACTGGTAAGAAAATACTAGAAAAAATAATAAACTTAAAAATATTTGGAGGGACAGATTACATTTTTTTGACATTAGGTGCAGTCCATAGGGAGGGGGAGGGGGGGGCCTGACATGGCCAGCCATTTCAGACCCCTGGTTTACACTGTTTCTGTAACTAGGGTTAGAGTTATAATTCACAATGGACAATTGTGTGAATAGGCTGCAAATACTTTTCACTTCTTCCAAGAAATGTGTCATTCTACATGTCTAGTAAAAGTTCGATGAAGAGAACAAAAGTTAACATTAAGTAATAAGATTCTTTATCAGTGCTGAACCAGCTTCTGAACTTAATTACAAACAAGCAATGAGATTAAAGGAAGTAGATGAGGCATAAAGACTACAAAACATTTGTCTGAATATGGATTTATAAAATAATAAACATTTATTTTATCTTATTTCTAACTTGCGTGCCTTTGATAAACCTTCTTAAAAGTCCTCAAATCCAAAATCCAGCCTGTGGCTCCCTTCCCGCATGTTATTCCCTACTCTCTCTCTCCCTGATTTCCTATCCACAGTCCTATCTCTCCATTAAAGGCACAAAAAAGCCCCCCCCCCCCAAAAAAAACAAAAACTCCTCACCTTCCTCCTTGTGGGTGTAGGTCACCTTGAAGCCACTGATGGAAGACTTTGGTTTGGTCCACGACACAGTCAGAGAGTTATCGGTCAACTCGCTGAAGACTATGTCAGTGGGGAGGCTCCGGGCCTAAAGAATACCGTGAAAAATATGAAAAACAGCTCATCAGAAATATATCAAAGAAGATGAAAAGAAAACTTTTTATAGATAGTGTGAAAGGTTTCATTAAAGTGAAAAGACGTAGAAAGAGTGAAAACAGTGTACACTGAAATTTATTTACAAACCACACATTTACTATTAGTGCTTTGATAAGTTGATGTGTATATATGTACAGTGCAAACATATATACAGTATACAAATCATATACAGACATATAGTAACTGGTTTTAACAATGAAATGCAGATGATGGATCCTGGACAGCAGCACAAGAAGAAAGAGGAAATTCAATAGTTAACTGGTCCGTTTAACCTGAAATATAAAGTACGGCAAGACTGGAGAAGTGAAACGAAAATAGATATTTAACCACATGTTGTTAAATATAGGACAAACAAGTGGACTCTTTTTCTCTGAACGTGTAAACAACAGTTTGGCATGCATCCTGAAATGCATGTTTTCTTCCATTTCTGTAAAGTTTCATATTCACACACTCATATTACAAAGGAGTACTAGACTGTCCTTGTAATACCAATAATCCATACTGTAAACCTGTACAGTACAGACACACGTTTGATATGTTATTTCAATCATTTTGGTATTGGATTAAAAGCTGAAGACAGACGAACAATGGAGACCAGCCGTGGTCTTACCCTGCTTTGGGTGAGAGGTGACGGGGTGTCAGTGAAGCTGGCTGTTAGCTTACCCTGAATGAGAGAAGACCAGAGCGGCAGTGAATGAATTTGATTGTTATGTTATTACTGTTGTGGTTTGTTTTAAACTCTCATTTGATGTCAACTCAGTCAGGTTGCTGGTCTACAGTCCTTAACATCATTTTCAATGAGTTTAGTCCCATCTGAACCTTAAGGGAGGGTAATTAGGGGTGTGGCTGAGTTGAATGACAGTTGGGTGTGCCATATCTGTTTGCCAGGAGGCAAAGGCCTGCTTCTGATCCACCTCTCTGCCTTATTCGAGATATATAGGTAGAGTCAGCATTTCCAGAATTTCCAATATGGCGACCGCCATCATTGGACTTCATAATGTCTCTTTAGAAACGAATGGGTGACGTCACGGTGATTACATCTACTTTTCATGCTTTCTATGGCCTGAACCAAACCAAACTGAATATTTAAAAACTTTCATCAAGTGTTTATAATGTACATCTCTAAAAAGAAACATGCTAAAGTACCTATTCAACAAAAAGACCACTTCAATCTCGATACATTCGCTTGTGTGTATCTTAGCTTGGTAATAATCTGTGATAAGTCCTGCCTGAGGTTTGACATCAAATAAAGAGTGTGTTGTTATGGTTGAGATCATGTTGATTGTTATGATGTATGACTGATAGTTCATGAAAATGGGTAATTTATAAATGAATGAAAGCTCACAAAGAAGTACACAAATACAGCATCGATAGGGCAAACAATGAACACCAAGAATCACTGAAAACAAAACAAACATGTTATGACATTACCAGAGCTGTAAACGACAAATATAAGAGGAGAAACTGTAAATTGCAAGTTTACAGTTTAAAAGAGCATCACAGCACTGGAGCTCTTGAAATAAACATGAAAAAAGCATTTAGTTGGTGAGCAAACATTTATAGTTTTAGAACGAGTGATAATTAGTTCACAAATAACATTTTGTTTAGATCTACAAAAGACATGGGTGCAGTAAAGACGTGACGTGGGTGAACAGGTTTCCCTTTCTTAGAAAATGGTGATATAAAACAAGAAGGGTTGTGGAGATAACTTCACAACATTGACAGTAATGTTGAAGCAATGTGCAGTAGTAACTGATGTTGTTCTACTGTCACAATTGCTTGTACCTGTACTGATGACGAGCTTGTGCAGTCTGGACAGGATGCCAGGACCCTTTCCAAGCAACGTCACGGTGTAGTCGGTCTGAGGAGGAAGGTTCTCAAACTGGAAGGAGCGAGCTGAACCAGGAAGAACTTGTTTGAAGGTTTTGTCACTTCCTGTGACAGGTTTAGCTGTGGTGCTGCTCTGGATTGTTGGAAATTCTGTAAAAACACTTTCTGGTACCTTATTTTCATCCTCGTTTTTTCCAGTTTCTGATTCCTTTTCTTCGGTTGTTTGATCGTCATCCTCTTTCTCAGCGTCTTCCTGTTCTTCTTCCTGATCTTTCTTGGTGTCCTTTTGCTTTGGCCCTTTTTCATTTTTGTTTTGTGTCACAACAAAGTTTTCATACTTTCCTTCTGGTGAGTCCCATACAAGCATGAATCCATCTGATGTCTGGTTTGTCACTCCCACATGGTCCAGAGGTTCCCTTGTGACTCCAGTGGAAGAAACATTTGATCCTGTCAGAGTTTTGGAATCAGTCCTTCCCATCTTTTCAGTTTTAATGGGAAACTCACTTCTGGAAGTATTATAGGTTTTTGTACTCTCTCTTCTTTTACCCCCACTATGGTACTGTCTGTTATGGCCTTGATTTTGTGTTGTTAGACCTCTAGCTGGGGGTCCTCTCTTTGGAACTGTAACCGGTCTTTGTGCTCTATGACCCAAATCGGTTGACCCAATGTTTTTGATTGTTGGGCTACCTTGACTTATAAAGCCAGTGTTTTTGCCACCATTGACTGCCTCTTTAAGTGTGTCAGTGTTAGGTTCTTGGGTGCCAAGTTCTTCTACCCTCTGTTTGATTGTCTGAATCTGAGCATTGGGCCTTCCTTCTAATATGTTAGTTCCTGTTTTTTCAGTCGTGTCAAGCTTGTTTATATGGGCACTTGAAATTACCACAGTACTGCCTTGATCTCCTACTTGTCCATTTTGGACTCCCTGGGCTGGGATGGAGGTATTCTGCCCTCCTGGTTTGTTTTCAGGGATTTTGTGGACATTCTTTTTTTCTAAAAGGTGAGTTTGACTTTCAGCTGCAATACTGCTGCCACCATTTATCTTTCTTGTTGGGAGAGGCCTTCGCAAGGGTCCTCTATAGGGATGTTGAGGTTGTCTCAGATTTGTGTGGGTTTTGTTTTGGAAACGGCGACCAAACGTTGGGCGAGGAACCTGACCAACTTTTGTTGGGTGATGAGAAGAGGACCCACCACTTTCTCTGAGAGTCTGATTGAACTCATTGGTCATTCTTGTTGTGAACATATTTGTCCCAACACTGTCATTGCTTTGCTCTCCTTTTGGATCTGTTCCTTTAGCAGGATAGGATTCCTTAGAAACAGGAGGGGGTGAGGTGGCTGGAGTTTCAGTGGAAGATAACAGCTTTACCCTTGTTTCTGATGCAGGATTTAAAGGTCGAGAGGGGGGAGGAAGCTGCCTCAAATTTGGGCGAGTTTGGTTCTTGAGGTGTCCAAAGTTTGTAAATTGGCGATGTGGGTATCCTCCTTTTGGAGGAACACGGCGAAATGGGATTTTACCTCTTGCTGTTGGCACCTTTTTCTCATTCTTTTGATCTCCAAATGACGTAGGTGTAGTTGTCCCGTCTTTATTTCTAATAGTATGTCTCACAGGTACATTTACCTCAACTGAGGGTGATTCCTCTGATGCAGATGGTGATGCTGTAGACAATAATTCACTTGGTGATCTATGTGTGGTCTCTGATTCTGTTCTAGGGACAAGGTTCAAATGTGAAGGGGGATGTTGAGGAACTCTAAATTTTAGATTCTTCAATTTTCCTATATTTGGATTTTGGCGGCGATCATATGCAGGTTTTGTTGGTGTGCGACGGAAAAAAGGTAAGCTGACATTCCCTTTGGTTGGTAGTCTTCTATCTTCAGATGATGCAATGTTTATTGTACTTCTGCTGTTTTCAATGCCTCGTTCTTTGCTTTCTGATGAATCAGAATTTTCTGAGCTAGAATGGGAAGTAGACTGTGACGATAATGGAAGTGATGATTGTGATGATGAGGGTGATGAATTAAGATGCGTGACTGATGATAATGGCTCTACTGTTGATGAGGAAGAAGCAAGTGGAGGTGATGGAGATGATGACTGTGATGATGATTGTGAGCTTGTCAAGGATAATGAAGAGGACCTGTATGACGACAGTGGCTTCAGCCCACCTACAATCTGCCCTCTTACTGTTTCAGCATCAACAGAGAGGTCTGATGGTTTGGACAGGTGAACAGAAAATGTTGTTATATTCAAACTGTCAAAAGTGTCCGTCAGGAGCTTATGTAAAGGATCTGGTGAATAATCAAGGTCAGGAGTATCATCTGTTTCAGTGGAACCTTGCTGTAAGCCTGGTGTCTTCCCTGCCAGAACCTGTCCAGCCTCTTTACACCCGCTGCTTCTGCCCTTAATGGGTAATCTGAAGTGTGTCACTTTAATTTTGTTCATACATTTCTTTTCTTGGCTTTGAACAGTCCCAGTTGGCTCTGAAGACATTGAAGCATTTTCGTTTCCTCTGCCTTCTTTGCCAACATCTGGTTGCTCTCTGGAGCCAACAGCAAAAGTTGGTCCCTGCGAGCTACTTTGTCTCTTTGTATCTAAATCAATCCCAGATATTAGAGCTGGATTTTTGGCATCCGTCCTGTCAGTGTTTTGTCGCTTTGCATCCTGGTCCCTTAAATTCAAAGCTGTTGTCCCGTCATGGGTAGTGGGGACAAGTGGTTGAGAATTTTTGGCAAATATTGGTGGGTTATTTTTCTCACCAATTCGGGTGATTTTCAAAGGACCTGGGTCAACTTTCCTTCCACCATGCACGACTCTAGTTGTGTTGAAACGGAAAGTCCTTGCGACATTTGGCTTCTTGGACAATGTGGGCCTTTCAGCAAGTTTGGGCCTGCTGCCATCTTTTGGCATCTTTTTGCTGGGAAGAGGTTTTGTCCTTGCAATCAGAGAGGTTGTAGAGTCTCTGTTAGATGCATCAGTACCTCTGACTGTAACAGCATCCTTATCGCTCTTATCACTAACATCTTGTCTTGGTGCTTTTGTGACCTGCAAGGTCAAAGCTGATGGTGCCCTTGGTAATGTCTGCCCTAAAGATATAGAAGGAGTGAGCATTTGGATTAAATGTTACAAGTTATGATAAACTGTTGTTAAATAATCCAGAAGACATCATCTCTAGAAGACAAGTTTGGAAGAGAAGTTGTTTAGTAAGTCGTTATAGTTATACTTTACAGCAGTTTGTACATTATTCTGCGAGTGCAAACTAGTCAAACAAATCAGGTCAATGGTATCTATGAAGAACCTGCAAAGAAAAGTTTAAATATGGTTAATATTCAGCTCACTCCGCGGAAATTGACAGGCTTGGTGTCTGGGTCACTGTTGAGAGGGAAATGTCATGGCTGAGTGGTTTCAGGACTATTTTCCTGTTCATTATTTTTGCTGCTGGAGGGTTGCGGCTGGATCATGCTTCATTAAGTTTTCTCCACACTGTTATGTGTTTTATATGATGTGTTCCATTGAATGACGAGGTGTTAAAACACAAAAACCTTCCCTTTCCTTCGTTTAGCTGGAGCAAGTCAGTTCTCACCTCAGTAGTTCTGCACAAGAAACACACATACGATAACACACTTGAATTGCTCAACAAAGTATTTATCCAGCCGGGGGGTGTAATGCTGAGACCATAATGCTGGTGTGCTTATGTTGTTATTCATAAAGGGAATGATTGTGTGTTTGAATAAGGCGGATACTTGGATATTTGGTAGTTGTTATATGGATACATTACATTTGGGAACAGATTTTTATTAATTAAAATATAGCATGTCTCCAACTAAACCTTTAAATAGCTCCATGCAAAGTGACATCAGTCACCAGACAGTGTCGATATATGATGTTTTAGTTTATCCTCGGCTGCACGTACAAATGTCCTCTCTTGCAAATGGAAAAACCTTGAATATAACATCAGAATTATGTTTTACTTTTGTATAAACTCTAAAGGTAAGCTTTCCAAATGATGTCTCCAAATTTAGTCAGAAATAATTATATTCTCAGAGTGTAAGATGTAATTTAATAAGGAAAGGCTGTAATTTGTGTAACAGAAGCTGCAGCCATATGAGCTTAAAATAAGTCCCCTCCCCCTAAATTATAGGAAATCTTTCTTTGTTTCCCTGTTGAGTAATACTGAAAGTAAAGTGCCCCTTAGCTCTATTTCTGTATCAATTCTTTATTCCTTGTATATATTTTTTTGCATCTACTGTTGAGAGGAGTTTCCTCCTTAAGGACTAAAATACTATCTCTCTATCCTTTAGGCTAACGTCTTGATGGGACTAGCACATATTTTCCCAGAGAGCAGAAAATGAGCCAAAGCGTTTCCCTGCCAAACTTTAAATGGAATTCAAACCACGTCCAAGAGCCTGAGAGAAGAAAGTGTGTGAGGATGTGTACCAGTAAGTTTAAAGAGGAACCTGCGGCACCTGAAAAGCAGACTTGAGACACAGCGACTACGCAAACTTGGGATTTACATTCTTTTCTCACAGCCTGGTCGCAGTCTTAACAAACCTGACTGGAGCGGTCTCATGTTCGACTCTCAAATCACAAGGATGTGATGTAAACAGACAAACCACAATTTCTTAAACCAGGGAACAGGCATGTCTGTAGTTATATGACGTACGCAGCACGCTATTGTGTCTCCAACTCTCTCTGAATTTATTACAACTCACCGAAAGACCCGAGGTACAGCACAAGATGTCAATATTTAAAAAAATTCCAGACCTTTTTATTCTGGATTTTAACTGAATTTAACGGCATTTTATGGACTATATTTGTTTAATATTTAATTTAATTTACTTTTTACACAATTGAATATTCATTTATATGATTGTATTATTCTATTTTATTTGTTGTAGATTATTACTGTTTGATGATCTTATTCCCGTTTATTTCTATGAATTATCTTTTAGTGTTTCAATGTTGGATTTTTTTTTTTTTTTTTACTTTTATTCTTTTAGTTATCTTATTGTAGTTTATTTTGATGAATGACCTTTGACCTTTTCATCATTTAAATCCCTCCTCCTGTGTTTCCTCTTCACTAATTCATGGTTGCATACATCTCAATTAGTCAGGTCCTGCTTTTATTGAGTCTTTTATTAATAACATACATTTTTATTTGACCTTGTGCATTAGGTGGGGGAGGGGTCACTGGCTGTTTTTTTTGATATTCTGTTTTTGTAAATAACTTTGTGCTACATTCTTGTAGTGCTATACATGTGAAGTTTGGTTGATCCAACTTCTAACCGAACACAAGTTCACCCAGAAATCTGTCTAGGAGAATCATGAGCAAGCGTCCAAAAGCTTCAGAGAGAGAGAAGAGCTCTGCAGGTTAATTAAGCTTTTTATTGTTACATAGTCCTTGTTTAAACTTTGAGTCATCACCCTCAAGCCCTTTTTAGAAGTCTTCTTTTTATTGTTATTTGTAAATCTAAGTAACGTATGACCAAACAATGCAATAAACAAACCCATCTGGTTTAATGCTGTTTCCTGCAGCTTTAAGAGAAGTATTTTACATTTATAAGAGAAAATGATCATCCTTAAAAGAGATATAGGAACCTTTCTGCAAAAGTCCTGTCTTAAAAAACAGATGTGTGAAAATGGGATTGGAGTCAGAGCTGAAACATGATTAACTTCTATTGTTCAGATAGGTCCTGCTCACCTGGAGTAACCTGGGTGAATGCTGGTCCACTTTGACTCGTGCCCTTCTCCGCCACGAGTGTGACGTCGTACAATCGCCCCGCCTCTAGATCCTGGATGTGGGCGGAGTCTTGGCTGGGCGGGAAGGTGAGTTCCTTACTGCTTCCCGCTCCATCGTTAGGTGTGATGGTCAAACGGTACCTGTCGATCTCACCATGCGACTGCTCCCATTGGAGGACTGCTGATGTCGTGGTCGTCTTGACAACGTGGAGGTTGGACGGACCAGAGATGACTGAGGTTATGGAAGAAGAAGGAGAAGAAAGAGAAAAAGAATGACAGCCATGTGGTCGTGAGCAGCAACCAACCAGTAAACAGAAGTTCACATCCTTCATGTCCACCAGTAGTATAGTAATTGTAGCTGGTATGCATGGAGAGGCCAAAACAAACTATCTCTGTGCTTCTATCCAGAGCAAGTGATTTTCAGTGAATGATACGACAAAGCACGTCAATCATCCTTGGTTTACTTCACAGAACTACGAGCCACTATTTTTAAATTTTGAGATGAGTACCGATTGATTTCTTGACATACTGACAGCTCTCGAGTCCAGGTGGACAAGTTGAATTATAAACACTGTGTTTACACAGTGTGTGAACACGATGAATGGACTGAGAGAAAACCTAAGGAACTTAAATGCCTCCGGCCAAAGTTTTTCTCAGCCTCTTTTCTACCAGGTAGCAGGTTTCTCTGGGAGTGATTCCATCCAGGAAAGTGGATACACAAACCTCCAGTCGGCCTTACATTTACCTTGGCTCATGACATTTCCTCCTCTTGACTTTGCTCAAAGTTTCAATCCTGCTTCTGCCACAGACGACATCTTTCACAGGAAGGGCCGCCGGAGGAAAGTGTTTAAACTCTGTCTGCCAGTTTGGCAGTTTTGGATTTCACACTTCAGCCAATGTCTGTCAGAGGCTCCGTGTTCAAACAAGTACAGTAAAGACTGTACTTTAAGAGGAGCGTATTACATTTGGAAGCATCACTGTCATATGATCTAGAAGAGTGCACGAGTAGATTACTATTATACTAGAATGTTTGATCTAAACATCTGAGTCAGAATAAACAGAATGCAACAAATTTCTACAAGATGGGTAGTTCGAATTTTTAATTTGTCTGTTTATTTAAAGATTTATTTTTTGGGTTTTTTATGTCTTACAGAGACAAGACACTGGACGGAGTCTGAAGATCTGAACTCTGGCTGCCAACTTTGAGGACTGAACTTACCACTAGGCCTCTAAAATTAAATACAAAGGCTTTATTGGCCTAATAGTTTCAGAAATTTTCACCAAAGCTTAACGTTTTGATCTTTGAAAATCTGATCAGAAGAAGTGTCTGTGTTCTCCCTGCGTATTCTCCTCGATCTTTAAGGTAAAACGTGGGAACATGTGCTTTATGTCTAGCTACTGGACTGGTTACATACTTTTTTTGAAGTAGAAACAATCATGCCTTGAAAATAAAACACCTTTTCACTGTTTAAAGAGATATTATTGGAGTTCTTTGTCTTGTTTTTACTATGATTGCATGTATCCAATTCCACAAAGCATCTTAAACATACTCCTTCTTGAGTCCATGAAGCACTCCTTTCTTCAGTTTTTTTGGGATAGACCTTGTTGGAAAGTCAAGGATTGTGAGCTGCTGTTTTATTAGAAGTATCGCAATCAACTGCAATGAACGGTACCAAAACATTGCTCATGTATTGCAAGAGTGTAAGAGTTTTGCTTATAATTTTTTGTAATTAACAACACTGTTATATGTTTTCTTCATGTGTACCAATCCCTGGAAAGCTGTGAAAACAAATTTCCCCCCTTGGGGACAATAAAGTATTGTGTCGTATTGAGAAATTAACAATAAGAAATTAACCAACATTTGGGGCCTAGGACTTCTATTGTTGTCGCTATGGTATCAAACAGGTATCTATACTGTTAGATTTTACTGAAGATTAAAATTCTGGTATCATGACAACCCAAGTTTTAAGAGTCATAAAGAATGGTCACTGGTCACTCACTGGTCTCTGTTGTAGAAATAAAGAAATAAACAGCTCACGGGTCATGAATTCAGCCGAGCTCTCAGCCCCTCTCCTGCCATCGATCTCTCCGGTGATGCTGATGGTGTACTCCTGACCCGCCGCCAGTCCCGTCTGCGTGAAGGTGTTCACGCTGCCGTCCACCTGCACCTTGATCTGCTGGTCGCTCTCTTTCTGTTTGAGACACAAAAAAGGAAACATGTTTCTTTGTGTATCCACCAGCAGCTGTATCAGGCAGCAACACTATTAAACTGAAAATCAAGGCATCACGTCTACCCTCTAGCAGGTGTACAGATCTCATTGGTTGAACAGGTTTTTAAATCTGCTTTATATATAATCCAAAGGGGGGAGGTTCCACAGCCTTAAAACTCACTCTTACAGACTCTTTATGTGATGTGGTCTTCTTAAAAATCAAAACATTACTTATTCATATTTAGAAGCGCTGCAGATAAATTTCCCTGATGTGTAACCTGCCTTTAAAACTTCTTCTTCTCTGGGTTCATTTTTGACTACAGTGTCTGAACACACTGACTCATCCGATCCATCAGCACTTGAACATGATCCAGTTTGAATGATTAAATCGAGATATTAAACTCCTACACAGCGACCAGAGGAGACTATTTCTTTCTGTTTAGAGGAAAATACCGATGCATAACAATTAACTCAATGAGATTTCTCTAAACTGTTTGTTGAACTGAACTGTACGCTGACTTTAAGTTCAGCCAGCTGACAGAACAAAGACCTTCTCTGTAATAATAATCATAATATTAAAAAATCACAATGTAATCATGGTCGTGAGGAGCAGTGGAAACATTAAGCTGTCTGCAGGGCATCGATGTGTGTGTGTGTGGGCAAACACAGATGCTCAGTGTTACGCTTTCTTAAGAAAGGCTCGCTGCATTGGAGGAATATGTTCTCCATCAAAAATGTAAGTTTCATTCAGAAATGATTCAAGGGTTATTCCGGTGTTTTTAAAGGTCCAATTACTGAGATGTGTAGAGAGTGAAATGATAAAGTGACTTTACTATATGATCAGACATTAAGGAAACATGCTATGTTGCAGTGCTGGCTTCTCTGACAATGCAGCAGCCAGTATGTCCTTCTAACTTTAGATTCTGGTCCTGAATGCTCTGGATTTGTTTGGACCACAGAAGGTAGGCGGTTTTAAGGCACCCCCGTTTTGGACGTCCCTCGATTCAATTTGTGACGGCAGTACCTCAGTCTGAAGGGACTCTGGCAGGTAACCGGAGGGTCCCCAGTTTCAAATCGCAGTGCGAACCAGATCTGGAAATTGGTCGGATAGCTGGAGAGGTGCCAGTTCACTGCCTGAGCACTGTCAAGGTGCCCGTGAGCAAGGCAGTCCCCCAACCCCACCCCCGGAAAAAGACAAGGAGGTGGAACTGGGGCCCTGCTTCACGACAATGATTTTAGCCAAAAACGAAAACTTTTCTGCATCCGCTCTGTAGAAGAAAGTCTGTGCATGTAATCTTATTACACGTTTATGTCGCCAACTACTGGCCTGGCATGTTTACTACAGCGTACACTGCTTGGTCTTAAATAACCAACATGTTGCGCCCAACTTGGACCTTCATCCATGTTATGTCCAACATTTGCTCTCATTATTGTACTCTGTTCATTGTATGCTCTTTTGTCATTCACACATTTAAGTGAGGATCATTTCATAAGGCACAAAGTTCTTATTATTCAAATGATCCGTCGGAAAGACCAAAACTTCTCATGCATTCAAATGTGAGGATTACTCAGCTGGAACTGACTTTGTTTTTGACTTCCTAATGAATGGATACCGTGTTGTTAAAATAAATGGACCACAGCTTGTTGCCATGCTGGTTGCTATGTGTGCTGCTCAGAGGTTGTCCTGGATCAGTGTTGGCGTGTCACAAGGCTTTTATCCATCTCCATATGAATGAGGGTGACATCATTAAAACTAAAGGCGTATGATGCCTGTGAGGCATTCAGGGACCATGATGTTTGGTTCTTTCTGCACACGTGGAGGTATGAGTGACTCTCAGTCGCTGTGTTTATGATGGAAAATAAATAGCATGTCTCTCAAGACTCTCTTCATCAGTGTCTCTTCTCTGTTTGGTTCCATTTAATGCCAAAGTGTCAGCACATGTGTGGCAGCAGAACGGCCACATTGAGACATAACCAGCCACAGCTTACTTTTATAGCTGCAGTGGGGTAACATTTAGGCACCTGAGCAATAATAACAAATATTATCATTATGCTTAAGTTACTGAAACGGGGTGTAATGAGATTGGGAGAGGGGAGGTCACATCCTGCCAATGCATTTTACCCTCTTCCTATAATGGCTGCTCTTTTGCTTTTGTTTTCATTTTACATACACATTTGTTTAAGTACATTTATTTGAGTTACTAAGGTATTATGTCAAATAATCACAGTAATAATCACAGTCATAATTTGGATCATTTGATCAGATCAGGAAATTGAGAAATCATAAAAATATATTTGCTGGCTATAACGCAGTGCTGTTTGACAGTCTGTGTGAAGTTCACAGACTACAGCTGGCTGATGTTACGATCGTTAAGTTATTGATTGTTGATAAAAGCAGACGAGGTGGAAGTGAACGGACAAAAGTTGAACGTGTGTTCCTGACTCCAGCTGGTCCATACGGATAGCGGATCAACCGTGTTCCGTTGCACTGCAAGTAAACAGGTGCGCGCGATGGTTGGCGTTCCGGGTTGTGTGTGTGCGTTTGCAGCCATGTATGTTGTTGTGTCTCGTCTCTGCATGCCCCGGCGATGACCCGTCTGCAGACAACAGAGGAGCAGGGACAAGTAGCCGCAGCTACATCATAAGCGGTTTAGTATAGTTTTAACATGACTGTTGGGATAAATATTTACCGCCATGAAGTGGATTGCTGAGCGTCCGGAACCAATCAAAAGAAACGGACAGTCAATCAGCTGGCTATCCGGCGCGAGCCAGATGCATAAATGGATGAGAGGGGAGATGACTGCTAGAAGTCAGAGACGTCATATATCAGCAGTTGTTTGATGTTGATATTTTTAACATACATTCAGAGAGGATATGATTTGCAATTTGAATCGTCATTTTTTTTCTTTTGGCGCTCGTGATTTTCCTTTGCCGCTGGGTAAAACCTCTTTGGGGCGCGCCAATTCTTTATGCAGGAAAAACCCTGAGTTCAGGTGTGATGCTGGATGGATGACCAATGTGTGCACGCCACACCTGGGCCTTACTCTCTGCAGCATAGTCCTGAGACCAGCATGTGTTTGTGGTTGTGTGATGGGTCGGATATACTGATAGTGGTTTCTTTTATATCTCAACATCATAACACTCAAAGACTCGTCAATAAATGGCTACCGAAGAGACAAATTAAATTTTTGTCTGTTGCTGACAAAGGTCAAAGGTCAACATTTCAATCATGATGTGGATATTATTAATGTTTAACTATCTCCACTTTGTAAAACAAGCTTACGAGCTCTGCTGATTGAGAAAAGAAAAGGGGCCTTGAGGGTCCTCAACAGACTCTGAATAATTGAAAAATCCAGAAATGATTCTCCACAGACACTCACAGCATGATTGTTTTGAGTACCAGAGTGAGAACAGGTTTACTTTAAATGACTGTAAACTGATTATGTAGGCCTTTAAAACTGTTATTTGTACAAACAGGTCACTTTAAGATCTTAGAGGGAAACATTTCTGAGGGTTTATAGGAAATGTTTGATTGATTCGTCACATAGCAGGCAGTGAATAATAATTACTAACAGATCTAACATAAAGCTCTGACGTGCCGTTGTAACCATCCAGCAGGGGTCTGTTCACATATAAAAATCTATTTTTAGAGAGAAGATTAATGATGCTTACTGGAAAGAATAAATATCAGTGGGATGCAAACATGTCTCATTAAACTACTTGAACATTATTTAGGAGCCAGATGTTCTCTTTTGTCCTCAGAGTCTCGTCCTCTTCTTTTTCTTCTGTCCCCGCTGACAATCTGCTCTCACTTCAGCTTGTTGTTGTTTATCCGTCTGCATGTCTTGTTAACATCTCTTTTCTGTGTGTCTCTCTCTCTCTGTTCGTCTCTCTTTCTGTGTCACAGCTGTGGATCGGCGCTGATGTCATCCATCTGGCAGTCGCCATGTTTTTGACAGTGTTTACACGTTTCTGTGGCAACAAGCATCCCACATCTGCATCTTTTCCTGTGCGGCTCCGAGCGATCTGTTCATTCACTGCTCTTCTGTTTTCATCTCGATGACTGTTCTTAGATTCTTTTATTCTTTTTTTCTCTGCTTAAAGGCTCCTCGGTCGTCCGTCTCGTCCTCCTCTAACTTATATGATGTGTGATGTTGAAGCCGTCTAAGAGTCTGACAGATGATCGTGAGAGACACATGAGGAAATCTTCAGTTTAAAGACAGTTGGACCACACTGTGAGACGTGTCCACCTGTGACTAGTTTGGATGTCTGGAGACCAAAGACGATCCAGAATCTGAAGTTTTGGAGCAGACTCTCAGGACGCGCCTGCTGCATCCATTACGCAAACTAAACAGCAAAAAACAAAGTTAGGCGTTGGTTTCAAACATGCCTCCTGAACTACATGTTCCCTTCTTTGTATTCATTTAATCTGAAGCTTAAGGAGAGAATAAAGAGTAGACAGGCTGACACGATGAGGCTTGAGTAAAATAGAAGTGGTGGATCATGGTGACGGCTTTAAAGGGAACATTTTTAAAGGTTAAAGTTCTAGTATAAGTTCTAGATTTTATTAAAGTGTTTTCTTCCTTTATTCAGAGATAGGACATTGGATAAATCAGGGAGATAGAAAGAGAGAGAGTGGGAAATGTCATCAGGTCGGATTCGAACCTGGTCTGCCCGCTAGACTACAGCCTCCGTATATGAGGCCCGCACACTAACCACCACACTACTGGCAACCCAAATTAAAATATTTCTAACAACGGCCCCAGTTTGCTTTTTTGTTTTATGTAAATGACAGAAGATCCACAAAGTTTTGGATTTGCTCGAGTAGATCGACTGACAAACAACAACAATGCGTCCACCAGTCAGTCAAATTAGCCACGCCCCTAATTATGACTAATTATGCTGAACTCTTACCGTACGGCTCCACTGGTTCTGACAACAGATAGCTTCTCATTGCTTTTTATTAATTTCCTATTGCGAGC